CATGGGATTTGAGCTAAATACCCTATATTTTATACTTGTTCATTATGGTTTTTAATAAGAATTAAACTTCTTAATTACCATTATAATTGGTCACCAAAATTATTAAGAAATAATAATTCCATTAAAAAAAAGATGAACTATAATACAATATATTAAAAATAAAAAAAATTCTTACAAAACTAGGCCTAAACCAGTCAAAGTTTTATTCGCTAAGAAAATCCAAAATTTTAAAAATGGAAAATGTTAAAATATTTTATGCTATGTAAAGTTGTTCATTTCTTAAAATGTCTCTTTATATACTATTTAAATAATTGCTGACAAGTTATGGTGTTGTTCAAATAAAATCTGTTGAAATTTAATATTTTTTCCCTACGCTATTTACATTTACAGATAGACTTTTTCCGTTATTGGTAATAATATCCAGAGATAGAGTTGGCACATAGTAGTAAAATGTGTTGGCGAATCTATTTTTATAAATACGTAAACAACTCCAAATATGGATTATTTCAATTTGGCTTTATCCAATAAAAAAAAAAAATTTGGTAAAGTTAACATAACAATTTAGGGGCTTCTGTTTCCAAAAACGTTTCATTTTTAGATAATAGTTGTGTTACATTACATATCAGAAGTGGTTCGTTACATAACCAAAGGAAGAGATAAAGAAGTACCTAGCCACAAAAATGTCAAGCCACAACGCACCACATCCACCGAGACCTTTGACGAAGCAACACTCGTGGTCGCATGACGTGAACCGCAACGAGGCTTGGCTACGGAAGAAAAAAAAACAGCCATTGGATCTCTTTCGTCATACCAAGAGCGTAACGAACGACGATCTCGAGGAACTTAAAGGTTGCATCGAGCTTGGGTTTGGGTTTGAGCCAAATTCTTCTGATTTGTCCCCGAGACTCTCAGATACCATCCCGGCTCTGGATTTTTATTGTGCCGTTCACAGACAATATAGCAACCATTTGTCTCGGACATCGTCATTTGCATCCGAACGTGACGGTAGCGACTCGAGCACCACGACGATCGTTGACAAAGGTATGTGTGAATTAGAGGTTTGGAATCAGTTTTTTTTTTTTTGTTGGTTTTTGATTTGACGGTGGAGGATCAATTTGAAAAAGGTGATGATCGGAAGACGATGAAGCAGAAGCTGAAGCAATGGGCTCAGGTGGTCGGGTTTTCGGTGCGGAAAGTCAATAAGAAACCAAATTGATGTTCTTCAAAGAATGGCATTTTTGTAATGTATTGTGGTTTGGTGAATTGGTGATTTGACTGTTACTTAGTGAGGTTTGTGAAGTAACCTAGAGCCATAAGTTACTGTCTTATCAAAGTAAAATGGGAACCAAAACTAACACCATCGATTGTTCTTTTGTTATGGTTTTTTTGTTTGGCTCCATTTTCCTGATGAGTGGGACAATGTATCTTTGGTTAATTCATATTCATTCTATGAAATAGTTTACAATTTCATTATACATGTATATCGTTTTGTTAAATGCACAATTTTTTTTTTTTGGATAATTTCGAAATTCAAACCGAAATCCTAGTTTCCGTGGGGTCGGAGTCAGCCTTTGGTCCATTTTTTTTAAAGTACCATTCCTCCCAAGTGGTTTGAATTAGGGACCTCTTCTCCATTTCATGAAGAAGAAACCACTAAACCAAAAATCCATTTAGCTTGGACAGTTTTTCTTTTTGACATTGTTTTTCTTTATAAAATAGTTTTTTTTCCTTTTGACATTGTTACAATGGTTGCATCATTTTTTAAAAACTCATTTCATAAATACAACCAAACATATTATTTCATGACATTGTGACGTACGCTAGTGTACGCAATGTCGAGGGGAAAGGAAAACAATTAATCACATCTTTTTTAAAGTCCTCCCGCTATATAAACTTGAGCTCTTTGAAGAAATGGTGATTTAATTTAACTGCTAGTTTTATCCAAAAAAAAATAGATT